GGGAACTGAACCAGGTTCTTTGCAAGAGCACCAAGTGCTTTTAACTGCTGAGTTATCTCTCCAGCCTCATAGATTCTTTTCAGAAGACTTTACAGAACTAGAGCTGAGACAAAGATCTGGGAGGTCACACTGTGAGCAGGTCTGCCTAATTATGTGCACCTCTTGCCCAATTCTTTTCTTTAAACCTAAAGCCCAACTCAGTCCCCAGAGTCACACAGGTTCTTCTTCCCAGTGTACAAAACTCTGCTTTTGCACAGCCATCAGTCTCTCTAATTGTCTTACTGGGATGGGTTGCCAAGGCTAGCCTGCCTGGGTTACTAGAGTTAGGAGACTTTCCCCTAAAGCTCTGGTTATGAGACTTCTTAGCTGGGTGCCCCTCTTGAATAGCCCTAGGGAAGACTCATGTTAGCTCCTGCAAGGTCCTTGTCTGGATACTTGGCCTTGTGCTTGGTACAAAGATGCACTATAATGTGTTTTACTAGATGAGTAAGATCCTCTTCCCCACTACCTGCCCTCAGGTGAAGTGGCTGCTGACTTTAGGAACCCAAGGAGAACTGGAATGAGTCCAGTTTGAAATTGTACACACCACCTCTGCAGGGAAAGCAGGGGCACCCTTCCCTGATCCAGCCAGGCCTTAAAGCTGCAGGGAAGTGGAGGACCTTCTCCTACTTAGCAGCCATTTTTCTAAAGAATTTTCATTCTCTTGAATCTGGGCACTATCTGGTAAGAGAAGTCCTAGAAATGAACCAAAATGTCTGAGAATGAGTTATTCCAGGGGAGCGAAGTGAATCATTTTGGGTTCTGCAGGTCAGAGTTATGTACGCAAGAGAAGAGGAAACACCACAAGGAAATCAAAGCACAGATGAAACCAGCACAAGACACATTGGCCATTTCTGCCTACAGTGTCCAGCCGGTCTAGCTCAGACATACCCATTGTGTAACAGGATATGGTTTCTTCCTTGAATCTACAAGCCCTGGCAATGGGTAACCAGAGGCCTCAGCATCGCTGCTGTTCCTGAATTGACAAAATACACAATTCATTCTTTTTCTCTGTGACTAAAACACACCATTTTAGAATCCACAGCTGGTTAATTCCCAGGTATCCTAGATAGAAAAGTAAGGCATCCTCAACCAGAGGAAAAGGACTAAGTCCTTAAGTACGAACACTGCCCATTTGACTTCATCCTGTCCTCGGAAGTTACTGAGTTACATGAAAATCCATTTCTAAAAGTCCTAGTACTGTGTCTGGGACCGAGACCTGTGAGCTGGAGCAGGCACTGGCTAGAAGGGAAGTAGGTCTAACACTAAGCTCTTGCAAGCCTAGAATAAATTGCCAGCTAACCTCTCCCAACAAAAGGATGCTCCCATTTTTGCAGATCAGAAAACACAAGATCAGTGAGGTTACAATAGCTTATCAGGAAAAACAACACACAAAGGTCTCAAAGTAGTGTACAAACCCAGGTACAACATGGGGCTGTCTGCTTTTTCCTTATAGAGGTTTCTGAGTTCAAGGCCAGTCTGGTCTGCAAAGTGAGTTCCAGGATAGCCAGGGCTACACACAGAAACCACGTCTCGAAAAGCAAACAAACAAAATGTTGTTTCAAGGAGTGGGTGACAATTATTTTCAACCTGGAGTCAGAAGTATTTTCCATTTGATTTCATTATATGAGATTCTAAGGAAGTCCATTTCTCCTCAGCCTTCACTCTGCAGAATCCAGTGAAGCTTGTAACTGTTTTGTAGCCTCGAGGATCTAGCAGTCAGACCATCTCCTGTAACTCTTACCAGGATACAACAAATGTTAAGAGCCATTTCCATTTCCCAGAGCAGAGTAACAGGGGGAGGATAAATCATGAACTAGGTCAGTGACAGAATCCAGTGCTTCCTGTTTAAGAGATAAGCCTGACTCACCTCTCAGCAGTGATGGGAACAAAGGAATGGACTGGGCAAACAGGACCGGATCCTGCTGCCATTCTGCCAGGAGCTGTCCTGTAACCTTGAGCAAAGCATGCTCTCTAGGCCCTTAGCCTGGCATTGCTAAGAGCCACAGGGCCTAGCTGGCTTCTAAGTGTTTTTGAGGCAATATGCTATCAATTAATGAAATGATCCCTGTTTCCATATACTGATAAGTAAGATGTCTGGGTAACCAGAAGATCGTTTGCCAAGTTCTGAAATGGAATGCATGTGACATTGCTCACATGTTATGGTAGCAGTGTGTGTGAGTATACACGTGTGCATGCATTTATTTACCTGTGAATCTTCACATTGTTATACACCCCTGACCTCACACTCATTGGCCAGACAGTGTTACTATATTTTCCCTGATAGAATTCAACAACAAGCAGTTCTACAAGCAGACATCAATCTTCTGGGAAATTCTGCCTATTCAGAGCAGTTTGCTTGGAAAATCCTGACCTGCTAAGCACAGTATCTGAAGTCAGAGCTTTTTATTTCTCCAGACTTTTTTTTTTTTTTTTTTTTTTTTTTTTTAGCTTTTTAATTACATTGATTTGTGTGTGTGTGGGGGTGCATGTATATATTTGTATGTGTGGGCAAAGTGTATCACAGCACACACATGGAAGTCAAGAACAATTTGTGGGAGTTCTCCTGCCTACTGTGAGATCAAATTCAGGTCATCAAGCTTGGCAGTAAGCCCCACCTACTAGCCGAACATTTTAATTAAGGTTATCTGAAACCCGTTTTTGTGATGTTTTTAGCTTTTTGGTTTTGTTCTGTTTTGAGGTAAGAGCCTTGACATGTAGCCCTGGCTGGTCTGGAACTGGCAAAAGTCTTCTGCCTCCTGTGAGCTAGGATCACAGGCACATTCATCCATGCCCTGAGAGGCTGGTAAAGGGATGAGAGCTACAGAATATCTAGCATAAGCTCTAGCTCAATAAGGTAGTTATTCTACGTCTAGAGAGTTGGCTTAGTGAATAAGAACACTTGATGAAGGCTGGAGAGATGTCTCAGAGGTTAAGAGCACTGAATGCTTTCCCAGAAGTCCTGAGTTCAATTTCCAGCAACCACTTGGTGGCTCACAACCATCTATAATGAGATCTAGTGCCTTCTTCTGGTATTTGAGCAAGCAAAATACTGTATTCATAATAAATAAATCTTTTAAAATTAAAAAAAATCACTTGATGCTCTGCAGAAGACCGAGGTTAGAGGATCCAAGTTCAATTCCTAGAACCCACATGGGGACTCACAACCCTCTGTAATGCCAATCCCACCAGACCTGAAATCCTCTCTGACCACAAAGGGCACCAGCACACTCATATGAAAATAAAATAAACCCATTTTTAAAACAAAGATAACTATTCTACAGAAGACACTGATGCTCAGAGAAGAAGTTCTCAGAGAAACAGCAGCATCATTGTCAGAAATGGTAAGATGCAAAGTCAAAACCTTCAGTCCTTATCTACAGAAGGAAAAATCCTCATGGCAGAGTCTAGTGATATAGTGCTCAAAACCCCTGACTCAGAGACCCTGATGAGCACAGAGACCCTGAGAAACAGTCATTTAGCTAAAGATTTGGCAAAGCTTACAATGGGCAGGGCAGTTGGTGTTTGTGTAATGCTCAGCTCCCCCTGGCAGCACCAGCACAGTCAGAGGAAACCCTAAGTATATGATCATGACTCTTTTCCAAAAAACCTTTACTGAATAACCGGAAACTGAACCAGACAAGAAGTGGTAGGTAACAAAGTACTGTGACTATACAATAGAACACTGAAATGTGGGGTTTTGTTTGTTGTTGAGATTTCTCTGTATTGCTTTGGAGCCTGTCCTGGAACTAGCTCTGTAGACCAGGCTGGTCTTGAACTCACAGAGATCCCCCTGCCTCTGCCTCCCGAGTGCTGGGACTAAAGGTGTTTACCACCAATGCCTCACTTGAAATGTGCATTTTAAAATGGCTAATATAGATTTATTATTACACTTGTGTGTGCGTATGGCATCCAGAGGTGAGCAGACAACTTTCACAAGTTGGTCCTTTCTACCTTGTGGGTCCCAAGAACCAAACTACGGTTACCAGGCTTGGCAGCAAGCATCCTTAACCACTGAGCATCTTTGCAGTCGTACAATCACTAGTTCTGTGGTATATGAATGTTACCATAGTAAGTTATATAATGCAAAAATAGGGCGGGTATAGTGGTGCCCATCTTAAATCCCAGCTCTTGGGAGGCAGAGGCAGGTGGATCTCTGTGAGTTCAAGGCCAGCCTGGTCTACAGGGCGAGTCCCAGGACAGCCAGGGATACATAGTGAGACTGTCTTGAAAAACAAACAAGCAAAATACAAAAATAGGCAAAGGTAGGATTTAATTCATAGACCATAGCTTGCTGACACCCAACCAAGATCAATTTTTTGAACTTGCAATACTCCTGCAAGTATTTGAATTTAACTTCCTGAATACTGGGATGATACAAGCCACCACATTTAGCAAATATCATGTATGTATATGTTTATGTTTATATAGTCTCATGTGGCCCAGATTGGCCTTGAACTCATTTTGTACCTGTGAATGACACTGAACTCCTAATCCTCCTGCATTTACCTCCTAAACACTGGGAGCACAGGTGTATATCATCACAACTAGTCAAATCTTTTTCTTTATAAAGAACCCAGCCTCAAGAACTTCATTGTAGCAATAAAAAACAGATGAATGTAGAGTTCATTTACGTTATCTCTAATTCATTATAAAACTCCATGCCATAAATGATGAGTTCATGCTGGGCACAGTGGCATACACCTTTAATCCCAGCATTCAGATGGTGGAAATTATTGGGGGGGGGTGGCAGACCCTCATCTATACAGCAAGTTCCAAAATAGCCAGGGCTATATAAGAGACTTTGACTCAAACAAATAAACAATTAGTTTACACCAAATCGCTTTATAGGATGAATTCACTGTATCTGAAAAAGTATGGTGAAATGTGAACATGTTTAGACAAGGAAAGCCAGAATTCCTTAAAAGTTGACTACAGGGTAATTGGTACACACACAGTGGTAACAGCAGATTTTTATTAGGTGGAGAATACCCTAGGTTTTGTTAAGGTAAGTGGTGACTGGCAAGCACAGCATGTCACAGACACAGGAGCAATTCCCAGTATGAGCATTTATTCTCCTGCTTCTGACTCATCATGCAGGAAGAACTTTCTCTGAGAACAATGATGGCATGAAAGGACAGCAGTGTTCAGTTCAACTTGGCCAATAATTCTTCCAGTTCTGGCCGAGCTTTGAACCTTCCCTTGAAGTCTTCTTCAGAGTGCTTGGACAAGGAAAAGAAAACAAATGGCAATCACTCAGAACTTTTATTACCCATACACATGCACATCCAGAAAGGGCCTTGGGCAGCTCTGCAGAGTCAGAGTCATTCTCAGTCAGCCCTTTATCAATGACTATGTCTTGAATTGGGTACCAGGAATCAAGGCTGAATCACACTTCCTCTTAGTGTGCTGAGACAAGACAGGCATGCAAACAGGATGCTGTAAGTACCACTACAGAAGTTTTCTACCTATTTTTGGCTTTTATTTGGTTTTGCATCCTATTGGGGACCAGGGCCTTCCATATATGAGGTAAACACTACCACTGAGCCACATGGTCTAGAAACTTTTTTTGTGTGTGTGTGTGTGTGTTTGTGCATGCATGTGCATGTGTACCCACGTGAAAGTCAGAGGGCAACATTTGGGAGTCAATTCTACGTGGCCCTGGGAATTGGCCTCAGGCTATCAGGTTTGGTAAGAACCTTTACCTGCTGGGCCATCTCACCAGCCTTGTTTGCTTTTTTAGGGTCTTGGTATGTAGACCAGGCTGGCCTCCAGCCTCAGTCTCCCTGCTTCTGCCTGCTGAGTGCTGGGACTATATGCACAGGGACTTTAGTATTTTTAGCACAACCAGCACATTCTCACCCTATATACAGATCTCTGTGAAACTGAAATAACCACCAGACAAGTATGGACAGAACAAGGGGAGCTGGATGAAGCAATGATACCAGGTCAATATGACCTAATGGGAACTGTGTCACAAAAAGGATTGTCATGGCAACTAGACCTGACCAGTATTTAGGCTAATATTGCTAATTCTGCATGCTTCTCATTCTTTACCAGATACATTCAATGGAGCTAAAATCACATGTTGGTAGTCTAGGAAATGTCTCTCTAAGGTAATGCTCTCATGCAGTGCTTCTCAACCTGTGGATCATGACCCCTTTGGGGGTCAAATGACCCTTTCACAGGGGTCACTTAAGACCATCAGAAAACACAGATACTTACATTATGATTTATAACAATAACAAAATTACAGCGATAAAGGAGCAACAAAAATAATTTTATGGTTGGGGTCACCACAGCATGAGGGTTGAGAACCACTGCATTATACTGTTTATAATCTTAAAACATGTTTCTGGCTGGGCATCAGGAGGCAGAGGCAGGTGGCTCTCTGTGAGTTCAAGGTCAGACTGGTCTACAGAGCTAGTTCCAGGACAGACTCCAAAGCTACACAGAGAAACCCTGTCTCAAAAAAACAAAACAAACAAACAAAAACTAAACTAAACAAAAAAACGTGTTTCTGCTTTATAGTTGCTTGAAAGGAGAGAATCTGGGGGTCATGGGCTCAGTCCCTAACATCAGAATGCTGTAATGGAGGCCAGTTGCTGTGGAACACACAACATCATCCCTGACACCTCAGAGGCCTCAGAGTAAAGGTCACAGGGCCAGCAGGCTGCACAGCTCTCCCCACAGCAGCTGAAATACACATTTCTCTGTTGTTTCAAGTCAAGCAGCACCGCCTTCCTTACCCTCACTGTGAGCACACATAGGCCACAGGGACCTCTTTCCACACTGGTACCTACCTCCCTCACCGACAACCTGACTCCTTCTGGAAGATTGCTCTGGAGTATTTCCAAGAAAACCTCTGCAAATGTGGCACTCAGACCGCTGATCTGCAAATGAAGGAAGGTGCCTAAAGGAGGGCACTGAAGGCCGGGTGACTGGCATGCAAGCCTGGGCTCCCCTGCAGCTCCAGTGGGGAAGAGGCTGATACTCAGAGCAGGCCTCTAAGCCCAGTCCCTGCAGGATTTCTCTTGCTATTTGTTGAGATGTTTGCTTGAACATTCCCTGTTCCTGTAGGCAGGGAATGTCAAAACCAGACCAATACTGATATTCTGATGCAATTTGGGTTTACCAAACTGGCCAGGAGTGGACCTGGGGCTGATTGGCTGGTTCTGAGTGCAGTCCCACAAACACCATTCTGCGACAAGCATGGTCAGTTTTCAGGGCTGAGGGAGCAGCATTCAGTGCAATGTGAACTGTATAACAGCATTAGAAAATCCAGATAAGTTCCTGTGGCTGGAATGAAAGGGACATCAAGGAACAGCAGGAGAGGACAAGCAAAGGCACAAATGCTACAGAAGTCCTACTTCAGCCTATGGGACTTAGAGGCAAGTAAGACACACCCAGGATACATCACAAGCAAATTACTATTTAAAGACTTGAAATTTTTGAAGTCATTTTAGAACTAGCATATTTAGATTTGCGTATTTCTCCCTCAACATTCTTACTACCTTGTTGATAAGGCTCTTCAGTGGATTAAAAGGAGAGATGCAATGGAAATGTAAATAAAATTCCATGCAATGGAATATTACTTGGCCACGAAATTAATGAAGTGCCATACTGAACAAGTATCAGAAGACAAAGACTGAGTAAGTATTAGGTTTGAAGGATTACAAAGACAGAATTTGTTCTGAACAATTAGTTTTCCATACAATGAGGTCAGGGAGTACACTGTAGAACATCTACAAAAGTCCACTAGACAAACAGGTCTACTGTATTTGAAGCTCAGCCAAAAGATCAGGTGTGTGTATGTGTGTGTGTGTGTGTGTGTACTTACTCCTAGGAGTATTGGTATATAATGAAGCTTGAGGAATTAATGCAGTTTCATAATAGGAGAGGTGGAAGAGTCAAGAACCCATTAGAGTACACCATCATTTAATGGCAGGTAGGACAAGGGGGAAAAAGGTATGACAGATGGAGAAAAAGATAGAAGGAGGGAACCAGAGAAGCAAAAGCACTTGGGGATCCCGCAGACTACCTACCTGAACCACTCGCTCATGGGTGGTAAGGACTGAGTCTAGGACCATTTTGTTGCCTTGGTCTGGTAGCCGCATCACCTCCATGGTTTTGGTGGGCATTGCATAACTGCAGAAGAAGAGTTGAGAGTGTCCAATCAAGCCAGCAGCACCACATTTACCAGAGTCATCTGTGAGTACAACCACCACTCTGTGTCACGTCATCTAGAGGATCCTTACTTGCAGCCAGTGCCAAGCTAAGCATGCACATTTACCTTGTCCAGATGTCTCTGATCTCAAAGAGAACACAGTGTTCACTACTGCCTTTATATGTCCCCTTGACATTGCCTAACACATACCCTGAGTATAAAACCCTGGTGATAATACATATTTGACGCTACTAAAGAACCTGTTCTAAGGGAATCCAGCTCAGCACTTAGGTATTCTTTGGAGGTGAGCCCTGATCACTGTGCTTGCTCTAGAGAAATAAGGTGACATACCCAACAGTTCTGGAACAGTTTCTTTCGATGTCAGCACTAGTAACATTCCAGACCAGGCAATTCTCATTGTGGATGCTGGCCTATGTATTCTGACCTCTACCCACTGAATGCCATGAGGACCCCTCCAATGGCAAAAGTGATTACAGTCACTGAGGTTGGGAATCACTACTGCCAAGTCTATGCTTACTCTCTTAGCTTCAGCAGGCCAAACTGTTTGGAGTCCACCATGTATCAGCAATATGTGCTTGGGTAAGGCACTCTCCCCTCTGAGCTTCATGTGTAAATGAAATTACAGTCTGAGCCTCTGTGAGCACACACTGAGAACCCGATATGGTGGTGAAACTGAACTAAGGGCTACCCAGAAACAAGTTATTATCGTTGCATTCATCTCACCAAAAAGTTCATCAAACTAAAGAGAAATAAAATACTAATAGCGACAGTAGAATTCCTGATTTTCCCTGTCCCACTGTGTCATCAAATGATAGCAAGGGTGTGGTTTAGAGACGGATGGCTGAAGGACACTTAATGTGACAGAAAAGGGAACAGAAACATGAGGGTGCTGGACTTAAATCCCAGTTCTACCCAGTAATACCGGCTTGACTTTCGGAAGCTCAATTCAGCCTTCTTTCTATGTGTCTGTTTCTTTAGTTATGGAGTAGAAAAGTATAGCATTACTCACAGGCTTGCTGCAGTGACTGGGACTACAGCAATCTGCCTGTCACACCACAAATATCAGTTCCTTTGCCCTGATATACAGTGAATTCCTAAGTACTCTTTCAGGTACCTGCTTCAAACAGTAGCCCCCCCCCCCACCTCCAGCATAATCTCTGATCACCTGTTTTCATGAAAATATGGTAATAAGTCCATGATATTAAAAAGTGGGGGGCGTGTGAGCTGGTGGCTCATGCCTTTAATCCTAGCACTGGGGAGGCAGAAGCAGGCTGATCTCTGTGTGAGTTCAAGGCCAGTGTGGTCTACAAAGCCACAGAGAAGAAACCCTGTCTCAGAAAGTTAAAAAAAAAAAAAAAAAAAAAAAAAAAAAAAAAAAAATCTAGGTATAGCAGTGAAGTCCCCGGATTCCCAGAGTTTGAGAGGTGGGGACAAAGGGATCCCTGGGGCTTGCTCACCAGCCAATCTGATTGCATCATTGAGTACCAGGTTCAGTGAGAAACCCTGCTTCAAAAAATAAAGTGGAGACCAATTGAGGAAGACATCTGCCTCCCCCCCCCCCCACACATTTGTAATACCAGCACTTGGGAGGTAGAGGCAGGATGATTAGGTGTTCAAGGCCATTTTGGATATATAGTGAGTCCCCATCTGAATGAATAAATAAGAAAAAGAATAAATAAAGATAACTGAGATATCTGGTCATTTCAAAGTAGTCTATGTCTTTAAGTAGTTAGAATACAGGTAATTTTTCCAGTTTTTCCACAATGAATAAAAAGCAGAAACCGAAAGGGAGAAGTGAAAATCTGAAGAGACAGTGCTCTCTTTGGGCTCCATCCCTATCACAGCAAATTCATGGAAAAGCTGGGGAACAGAACCTGTGGAGCAGCCTTAAGGCCCCATGTTCAATGCTCTGTGCTGCCAAAGCAAAACCAAAAATAGTCAGAAACTCACAAAGCAATGCTTCCATTTTTCTTTAAGGTAAAGAAGAGTGGTCTCACAGCCAGTGATGTGGACTTTCACCCTCCATACAACACACTGGTCAGCTTCAGGCCTGGAAGCTGCTCCTTGATGAGTATTTCTGTCCTCCCCTTTCCAGCTACTCCCCACCCCCCATCCCCCCACCCCCCACCGCACCCCCACCCCTGGCAGCTGCTCAATTCAGACCATGTGTAGAACAAAAGCTGGTAGCTGCCCTTCCAGCCCAATTCCGACTCAAGGTCACAGCCATTATCTCCACACTGCTATCCTCACTCCAGAGAAAAAATGAAATGAAAATCACAAGAAAACAAAGTCATCTCTGAAAAGCTGGGCAATGTGAATGCCTAGTGATACAGCAGTTGAAAAACTTCAATCAATGCAGAGAAAAGAATCAGTAAAACAAACAGCTCTTTATCCTGAGCTATTTGCAGCAAAGAGTGAAGAAAGAAGCAAAAACCAGTATGCCATTCATCCTGCTATCCATGAAGGTTGGAACACCTATGCCTCAAATGTACTGCAGACTAAGCCAGCTCTTAGGATTGGACCACTAATGAAGACAGAAGCCTTGCCTTATAGAATTTAACATAATACAGAACATAATCTGAAAGTCGTAGTTAAATAAGTACAAGAACAAGGAATGCATGTTATGAAAGGAAATTTACAAACCCTTTATTTCTCCTGAATATACATATAAGGTTTTAATAAGCTTTCTTAAAGAAGTAATGATCAAGATGACACCCAAGAAAAAAATGAGGGCTGGTCTCAGTTGGTAGAGGGCTTGACTAGCAAGCATGAAGTTCTGGGTTCAATCCCCAGCACAGAATTAACTAAAACAAAGTGGCACACACCCTGTTAATCCCAGCACCTGGAGGATCTTCAGCTACATAGTGAGTTCAAGGCCAACAAAACACATGCTACATTTTGTGATCATAAACCACATTCGTACTTAGAAATGAAAACTTCTGTTCTCACAGAAACCCATACCTGTTTATAGTGGCTTTACTCATAATTGCCAAAAATCAAAAGCACAACAGTCCTTCAATTGGTAAATAAACAAATTGCAGTAGTTTTTTTTGTTGTTGTTGTTTGTTTGTTTGTTTGTTTTTTTGTAGCCTTCTAGGTTCTTTAATTTGCTGTATAGGTATTCTACCCTAAGTGATTAATTGCAAAAAACTAGTCTTATCAAGAAACCTGCTTAACAAAATACCAGATTCTCTATTAACAACAAAAGGGGATGGAGTTTAACAATCCAAAATAGGAAAAAAGATATCTGTGGCAGGACAACTCTGACCTCCGACTTCAGACTCCTGTGCTGAGGGAGTCACTGGCAAACCCCCATTATTAAGAGCTGCAGACAACCAGCGTGGGAAGCAGGTCTGCTACTTTCCCACTTAGTCATCCTCTGAGCTTTCAGTGGACCTTGCATCCATAGCCACTTTCCAATTCCTGTGCTTGCTCGTTCTCTCCTGTACTTCAGGGCTAGGCACAGGAACATGAACACTTTTCTCTTTCTTTTTTCCATTTGGTTTTCTTAGTGTCTCTTTCCTCAATATCCTCAGAACTGCTAGCTGCTGAATCAGCTGACTGGGAAGAAGCCCTTTCGCCCCCCCAGAGATAAAGTTTTTTATAGACTTTTTCCTGGATTTTTTTTTTTTTTTTTTTTTTTCTTGCTCTTAAGTGGTTGCTTCCTTTTCCTGGTACTAGAAACTCCAGTTTCTTCTGGGAACTCACTTGAGGAATCTGTTGTTATGTTCACCTTTTTGTTTTTCTTCTGTTTTTTGAGGGACTGTTTTTTCTGCTTCTTTTTATGGTATTTCTTTGACTTCTTATGTTTTCGGGATTCCTGGGCAGAGCTTTCACCTGGGGAGATGTTTTTTTCCCATTGGTAATGTCTTGCTGGTCACTACTGTCTGTTTCAAATTCTTCAGGTCAGGACATAACTCTTTATAACCACTGTGACCCCATCTGTCTGACATGTTGGATTCATAATCATATAACTTCTTGTTCCAGAATTTAACGTTAAGAAAATCCTCTTCTAGGGCCCCAGAAATTTCATTCTTTGGCCTCCAGTGGTCTCTCTTTCTTCATCAAAACTATCACTTCCCATCTGAATTGAGCTACTGGGTACCATGTTCCTTCTTGTCCCCTGTTAAGCATCCTCCATTTGCTTCTCTAGTTCTCTGATTTTCCACCTATCAGATTATTCCTCCTGAATCTTTTTTTTTTTTTTTTTTTTGTGGGGGGGGGTTTTCCAAGACAGGGTTTCTCTGTATAGCTTTGGAGCCTGTCTTTGGAGCCTGTCCTGGAACTCGTTCTGTAGACCAGGCTGGTCTCACAAAGATCTGCATGCTTCTGCCTCTCAAGTGCTAGGATTAAAAGTGTGAGCCATCACTGCCTGGCTTCCTCCTGAATCTTATTGTGAGCATCTGTATGTTGGATGACATTCCTCAGAAGGACTTTCCCCAGTGGAACCCGTAACATTCTTTAATCGTGTGCAGCACATGGGTTAGGAGAAGCAGCACAGTCTTTTAATGAAATGCTTCTGAGCAACAAAAGGAGCAAAGTGCTTGACACAGGCAAATATTATTCTAAGTAAAGAAATCAATATGCAAATGGGAAAATGCTGTGTGTTTTCATTTATATGACATTCTGAAAATGTCAAAACTACAGGGAAAGGAAATAGATTAAAAATTAGCAAGCACTTGGTGGGAAGGAGTTGACTACAGAAACCGAGAACTCAGGATGATGGAAATGTTCTGTATCGTGACTATAATGGAATCAACTTGATTGTGTGCATTAGTACAAGCTCACAGAACACGTTCACTGAAATGAATGCTACCACAGAAAACTGACTTGATATCATGATTGTTAAGGAAAACCTGTATCAGCTAACATAAGTAGAAGGCAAGTTAAAAATAAACACAGTGAAAACAAAATCCATTTCATAAATTTTAGCAATATATCTTGCCAAAGATTCCAAGCCCAAGGTCTTCGCTCTGTTGCAAAGATTAGGAAGTGTGACATCAGTGTTCAGGACATACCAGCGCCACTCTGAGAATGTCTCCTTGGCATAATAAGTTGAGTAAGAACTTAAAAGGGGAGCCATTTTTAATCAAGTGACATAATGTTATTTAAGGGAAGCCACAGGACATGTAAACCAACAGAAACACAGAGATAAAGCATAGAAGAACCTGCCCTGGAAAAGGCAATTAGTAAATGGTAGTTCCCTTCTCCTACAGTTTTCCAGAAAATCCAGAGAATGCATGGAAAGGAGAGCAAGCAAAAGATGCCTGAGTCAATAGAGGAAACTATTTTAACTTCAATTTTCCTCAAACTGATCTACATAATGTCAAAAAAAAAAAAAAAATCCCAGTAGGCTTTTACATAGATATCAACAAGTTAGCAAGATTTTTAAATGAAAACAAACAAAAAACAAAAACAAAAAACCAAAAGACCATTATAGAAAAATTGTTTTAAGAAGGATAAAGCTATAGTAATCACAATAGTGGAGTATTAGTGTAAGCACAGATATATAGAGCAATGTAACATAAACCATTTTAGGAAACAAACACTACTTTTCAACAAAGATAAGGAGATATTCAGTGGAGAAAAAAAAATTCTCTCACCAAATAGTACTGGAACAATTGAAGAGCCATATTAGAAAAGAAAGGCGCTAGGTAGTGGAGGCACACACCTTTAATCCCAGCACTCAGGAGCCAGAGGCAGGCGAATCTCCATGAGTTCTAGGCCAACCTTGTCTACAGCTCAAGTTCTAGGACAGCCAGGGCTACACAGAGAAACCCTGTCTTTGAAAAATAAAAACAACCAAAGGCAAGGAGAGAAAAAGAGGGAAAAGAAGCCAACTTCCTTTTGAAGAGAAAGGGCAAACACAAATTACATTTTGAAATACTTCAAAATGGATCCTGTCAAAACGGCTAAGATCAAAAACACTGATGACAGTTTATGATGGAGAGGATGTGGAGTAAGTGGAACACTTCTCCATTGCTGGTGGGAGTGTAAACTTGTACAGCCACTTTTGAAATCAGTATGGTGGTTTCTCAGAAAATTGGGAATCAATCTACCTCAGCAATACCACTTTTGGGCATATACCCAAAGGATGCATACTCACACCACAAGGTCTTTTGCTCAATTATGTTCATAGCAGCATTATTAGTAATAGACAGAACCTGGAAAGAACCTAGATAAAAATGTAGTACACAATGGAGTGCTACTCAGTGGTTAAAAAAAAAAAACAATGACATCAAATGGATGGAACTAGAAAAAAAATCATGCTGAGTGAGGTAACCCAGACCCAGAAAGAAAAATAATGTGTACTCGCCCATAAGTAGATATTATACATAAAGCAAAGGGATAACCAGCCTACAGACCACAACCCCAGAGAACTTAGGTAACAAAGAGGACCCTAAGAGAGACATTCATAGATCCACCGAAAGGGAAAAAAAGACAAGATCTCCTGAGTAAATTGAGACATGGTGGGCATGGGATAGGGTGAAAGAGGAAAGGGAAGGAGGGGAGGGAAGTGGAGAAAAATGTATAGATCGATAAAAAAAGGTAAAAGAATCTAAATAAAACCATCTATTGATAGATTAGTGGATAAACAAAAATATGGTATATAATGAAGTATTCTGTCTTAAAAAGGAAACTCTGATAGTCTATAACATGGATGAATTCTGAAGGCATTATGCTCAGCAAAATAAACCAATTACAATATATATATACTGTATAATTCTACTTCTGCGGGGCAATCAAAACCAGAAAGCAAGTAGAATGATTGGAGGGGGCAACAGTTATAGACTAAGCAGAGGAGGGAAAGCAGAACTACTACTAAGTGCAGAACTTCAGTGTACAAGCTGAAGAGTTATAAGCACAGACAGTGATAATAACTGGACATTATGAATGTGTATGCTATCAGTGGGCATACACACACTTAAAGATAATTAACATGGGGCTGCTGAAGCGGCTCAGCAGGTGAAGGTGATGGCCACCAAGCCTGATGAACTGAGCCCCTGGGACCCACATGGTGGATGGAGAGACTCCAGCAAGTTGTGCTCTGACCTCCACACTCTTGTACTCTGGGATATACACAATAAATACATAAATGCAATGAAAAATTTTAGAAAGTAGCAAAATCATTAGTTTTACATATATTTTGCCAAATTTTTTAAAAACAACTTGCAAAAATGTGAGTGAACTCAAGCAAATTATGCTTAATGAAAAGGTCAGATATAAATAGCTATCTACTGTGTGATTTCATTTATATAATATTCTGGAGACATAAAACAACAGGAACAGGGCTAGAGGGATGGCTCAGTGGTTAAGAGTATTGCCTTTTCTTCCAGAGGTCCTGAGTTCAATTCCCAGAAACCACATTAGTAGCTCACAAGCATCTCTGAGATCTGATGCCCTCTTCTGGCATGCTGGCAAACATGCAGACAGAACATTATATACATAATAAATGAATAAATCTTTAAAAACAAACAAACCAGGAACAAGGGGCTGTGAGATGACGGACAAGCAGAGAAGTCACCTGCCACTAAGTCTGATTGATGACCAGGGTTACATCCAGGGACCCACATAACAGAACAAAAGAACTGACTCCTGAAAATTGACCTTTGACCTCTACCCTATGCACCCTGAGGCATGTGTAGCAGTGCATACACAATAAATAAGTAAATAAATTTAAAAACTGGGCTAGTTGACTTATCAGTGGTTGCTAGAGCCTCTGGTGGGAGGGGATGACACTGACTGCTACTTTGACTGTGGCAGGTATGTAACTAAAGAGTAACTTTTATTAGATGTACATTATTTTTCTAAAACCTAACTTGACAGAAAAGCACAATACCCAGACACATCCCAAACAAAGACATCCTTCCTACCTTTCCTCTACTTTGATGGAGAGCTGGTTGCAGAGGCGGTGGACATACTGGGCATAGCTTTCTGCCAGAGTCATGTCGTAAGCAGTCAGGTGGATATTTAAGACACCATATTCATAATCTGTCCCCAGATTAATGGCTCTCACATCCACTTTTGCTTTCTTCTTTTTAGGCTGAATAGAAAATGAAGAAAAAGGAAATAAGTCCAAGCATTATATAAGAAATTTAAACTGCCCGGCATGGATGGGTAGGTGGATTTATATAAATTCACAGGTAGTCTGGTCTATATAGGGAGTTCCAGGCCATCCAAGGCTACACAATGAAATCTTATGCCAAAACCAATCAAACAAACAAATAAAAAATCCTCCTCCCCCTCAAAAGAAGAAATTTAATCATAATGTGTTCACATTTTTAAAAAGCAACCTTTCAAGTAAAACTGTTTACCATTTTCCCCTCAGGTTACCCTTTTGAGATGTTAAAGTTCTCATCGGAAGTAACAGGCAGTTCCCCTCACCAGTGGCCAGTACAAGAACAGAGCCTGTATTATTTTAACAAGACTACATGTGACTATCTACTGTCACTATCTTGCTTTGAGGCTTTACCTCCCATCTCGAGCCCCTTTTCTCAATTTGCAAACTTACAGTTATTCTATAGCAAAAATTTTTTTCTTGGTGCTGGTTATTAAACTTAGTATGTACTCTATCTCTCAGCTAAGTCTTTAGCCTAAGGTGCTATGTGTTTGATTGCTTTGAAAGTATGTGCGTGCGTGCGTGTGTGTGTGTGTGTGTGTGTGTGTGTGTGTGTGTGTGTGTGTGTGTACATGCACATGACATGGTTCATGAGTATAAGTCAGAGGACAAACTGAGGGGATTGATTTTCTTTCCACCAAGTGATCCTGGGGATCAGGCTTGGCAGCAGGCCTCACAATCCTTTTTTCATATCAACACCAATATCAGCACCACAGCAATGCACTGTCACTTCTGTCATATACTAAATATCCACAGGTAAGAACATGTTTCTGTACTTGTATTCTGTTCTGTTGGTTGCTGTGACCATGCTTGAGTTTATATCACAGTTTCCAATAATAACTGGAGATTTATGCTGTCACTTTTAAAGAATATTGGGGGTTGGAGTACAGCTCAGTGATAAAGCAGGTCCTTAGTATTTGAGAGGGCCCAGTTTGAATTCCCAGCACTAAAGGAGAGTCGGAGGAGCCAATCCTGGTAGCAAACACCTATAATCCTAGCACCCAGTAAACTAGTAGGAAGGTCACAAGTTCAAGGCCAACCTAGTCTATATAGTAAGACCCTGTTTCCAAAAGGAAAACCTACAACTTAGGTATCTTCAGTCTCCTTTGCACAGCAGTTGCCAAAGTACTGTTCCTGACAGAGCATCACTTTCCAGGTTAGCCGAAGACAGCAGGCATCGACAGGAGAGGACACAGGAAGGGACTTACTTATAAGTATAGGAATCCTGATGACAGAAGCAATCCCACAAAATGCTCTGAGCATTAAACAAAACATCATATGGAAAGTGGTTAATATAGAGCAGCACATCCTCCTACTTTAATGGTGATTCTTTTTTGTGAGAAAAATATGAAACGAGAAACATTAAGGTCTATCTTCCAGAGTTACATAGCCAGAAAAGACAGACTTCAGGAACTAAAACCAGAATTGCATAACTACAATGGATATTTGTCTGGAGCAGGCTCCTCTGCCTTACTGACGTTTCAACAGGAGTGGTCACAGAAGGTTCAGGGCCCTGCCATGAGTAGGAAGACAACAGTAAGATCAGCAGTTCCCTGGCAAAACACAGCTAGAAGGATTCTTCACCATGACAGTTAACACTGCAGTCAGCGCAGGGGAGAAAGCTGAGGTCTGGAAGCAAAGGGTGTAGATTCCAGCAGAAAGGGGACAGAGACTGCAGGAGGCTTTCTGTAGCCAAGGGAAGTGCTAGACCTCTTCAGAGGTGCTGCCTTAGGAGAACAAAGAAAGCTGACTCCAGTATCCCTCTTGGCATCCACACTGGCCTACAGCTGCCTGACTATATTATCAGAAGATTATTGTGATACAATACTTCAGTTCTGGCCCAGGGCACAGCACAGCCAGCAAAAGCTTAACTGCATATAATACCAGATGCTAGTTTCTATTAAAACACAAAATACCTTCATGGTTTTTTGTTTGTTGGCGTGTGTGTGTGTGTGTGTGTGTGTGTGTGTGTGTGTGTGTGTCCACGCACGCAGGCACGTGCATGTGTTGTATTGTGGGGGGGGGGGGTGGCTAGTACGTGGGGATTAAACTCAGGCCTTGTGCATTCCAAGGACATGACCTATCACTGAGCTACACAGCCTTTCCCTAGTTTATGTAATTTCATTGCACTCTCCCCAAACTCCCACATCCATCCTCTCCTTTATCCCCACTGCTTGAGATCAGGCCTTAATGAATGCCGTGGGGAATTATTAGCGACATCTTAAAGGGATATATATGAACAGTGCTGTGCTTTGGAAGCCAACCCCAACAGTACAAGGATAGTCAGGCAAGAAAGGATGGAAGGCTAGGAGAAAAGTGCCAGGGACAATGACTACTGTCCAGCACTGCTGTGGCTGACCTGGATTTATAGAGGTGGCACAGGGAAGTATGGGCCACCTCAGGCTCCCATAGGATTATACTCTGGTTGTCCAAATGAGTCACAAAAGTCACATGTCTGTACAAGGATGTCAACATTGTTACCTTTATTTCACAGATGGAAAACTGATGCTGGGCAGTGGTGGCACACGCCTTTAATCTCAGTACTCAGGTAAAGGCAGGCAAAGCTCTGTGGCTTTGAGGCCAAACTGGTCTACTACAGAGTGAGTTCCAGTACAGCCAGGGACAAAGTGAAACCCTGAAGTTATATGAGTTTTGACCATCTTTAGTTCAAATACTGGAAGTCACCAGTCACCTGGGTAAGCCAATAATCTTTCTAAGTCTCTGATTCCTTAAACTACATCTTTAACAACCAGTATATTATGAGAATTAAATTGAATATACCAGCTTTTCTGTAAAAATAAAACGATGTTTGTAAAGCCCAGTATACAGTAGTTATAACACCTGGTTAAAAAAAATTGTTTTGTATATTTTTTTGTTGTTGCTTTTTTTGAGACAGAGTCTTACTATTTAGCACTAGCTGACCTGGATCTCTATATGAAAGAGAAAGAAACTTCTTGTTTAAGTCCTTACTGTGGATCTATGATGGGAGCCAAATCACTACCTCAATTCATGTAACATGAACTATATCTCTCTCACTCTTCCTTTTATTTCTAGAGCCCAATAATATTAAATGCAGAGTTGAACTGGATTCTGGACACTTACTAGCCCCATGTTCACAGACATATCATATTTCTCCTTAATCAGTTTCCCTTTCAGTCCTTGTTACCTCATAGAGTAGTTGTTGAATCAAAAGATAGGGCATTCAAATTTGCTCTGAGGCTAAAATTGCAAAGGGCCTAAAAGAATTGTGCTCATCTTTGTGAAATGTCACAAAATACTGCAGTACACTGTACATAATAAGAAGATTTCACTAGGAGCAAATATGGCTTTTACAAAAAGAAGCTCTCTACATCTCAAAAAAAAAAAACCATATCCAATTTTTTTTTTTATGTGAAATTTGGGTGTTTTCTTTTCTCCCTTTCTCTTGTTTTTGTTTGAGACAGCATTTCACTGTGTAGCCCTGGCTGTAGACCAGTCTAGCCTTGAACTCACAGAGATAGGCCTGCCTCTGCCTCCCAAGTGATGGGATCAAAGGCATGTGCCACCACCACCTGGTTGGAATTTTATTTTCAACAAGTAAAACAGAGACGTGAAAATTTAGTAATTCTGTTTATTCATTTGGTATGTTTTTTATGGGAAAGACTGCTGTAAATAAATTGGGCAGGGACTGGCTCTAGGACTACCAGTGTCCAGTGAACATGGTTTGTAAAGCACTGAGAAAATGGGTGTCAGAGCACTTTGAAAGCTGAAGGCATCATTACTGCTGTTCATGTCAAATCTGAATCCCTCTGAAAACCAACATGGTTATAATTGGAAAGAATAGATGAGATAGGGCAAGACTCCTAGTGATCTGAAGACCAGAAGCACTGACAGCACAGGCTGGATCTCCATAGAAGCCGCTCTCTGAGTCTGGAAAGTTCCCAGGTAACTACTTTATGTTCTATACAGCTCAGTGTTACAAGGTACTCCCAGGTGTCTGTCACACACCCAGTACTAACAGTACAGGTGGCATTTAACAAATCTCTATTGTGCTGACCTCCATAACTTCTCCCTTGACTCTTGCAGGAAACCCCACTTCATTTACTTATTCATGTATTTGAAACTGACAGGTAAAATAGCACTTCAACAAGTACATACACATATATGCATATATTCATGTACATGACAGGATTGCTTGTCTCTGCTATCTCACATGTGTTTAGTTAGATGTGAGAACTTTCTCAGCTGAGCATCAGTGCTCAGCACAGAGCAGGCACAGCAGATATGCAATGATGGCATTTCTTCACTGAGCTACAAGGAGCAGACTTGAGGGGACATGGGTCTAGGTTCAAAACATACTGCATAGGCCACTTCTATAATCCTTGTCTAGACCTGCATCATTAGACCAACAGAAACAATCTTTTGTTTCCAGTTAGCTAGGACTATTAGCTATAAAGTATCCCAGCTTGTGGGTTTTTCTGGAAATAATTCCAGTTTCCTCATAGACTTGTGATCCTGAGTACTGACCACAGATGTCAAAAATGGGAGACACTTCTTTTGTGTCAACAGTGAAAACAGTATGATGTTTTCTAGAGAAAAGGTGTCTTGATGCTAAAGGACACTTGGTAAAGACTGAAGTCAGCTGAGTTATGAGTCACAGCTTACTCTCCTGCCCCAGAGCCAGGAAAGCCATTTATGTTTGCCTGATTTCACCCTCCCACACCTTCTTTGCAATTCTGATTGCTAAGCTGCTACTACTGTGATAATGGAAGCTAGACAACAGCCAAGGGCAAGTGAGTGAGAGTCGGTAAATTATACAGTTGTGAAACTTTTTTATCTCTTTGAGTGTGTGAGAGTGTATGTGTGTGAGTGTGTGTACACACACACTCGTGTACCTTTGGAAATCAGTTCTCTCTTCTACTATGGGTTCCAGGGATCAAAGCTTG